ATAGGTAAATGGTCACAACTAGAGACCATACTCATAAGTGAAATAAATCAGACCTACATGTGCAAGCACCGCATTGTTTCACTAGTGTAAAACCTGAAAGAGTTCATTTAAACTAAGAGGTCTGATAGACATTGTGAAATGATGGGAAAGTACTCAAGGGTAAAGGGCAACTGGGATGTGGGAAAAGAGAAGGGAAAGAAGGAAAATTTTTTATGTGTGTATATACAGGATAGTTAACATAGTTGTTTTACTGTCTTCTATTTCTTTGCTAAAAGAAACTGTCAATAAGTCCTTTATTGATCAGTATTGCATGTCTCTTTCTGTTTTCACAAGAAGCCACTTTGAAAATATCAATATGTAATACAGCAAGCATTGTTAATTTCCACTTTGTAATTCTGTATTGTCTGTACTGTTCTTATGCTATTTTGTAAAAGGTTTTCTGTCTGTTAATGTTTTCCTGCTTTTGTTTTAAAAAAACAAAACGAAAAAAACCAAATTCATGCATGGCTTAAAAGAGCCAAGTTTCCAATACTTACCTTTTCCATGAAGTATTGGATATTCCTAATAACTAAATAGTTTATTCTTTTTAAAATCTTAATATCAAATCTTGTTTCTGATTATGTCTTTTAGAATGGGGACTGGAAGAATGGAAGAGGAAGGATGTCAATCAGGTATTTATTTCAATGTAATCATATTTAATTTTATCTCCTATAAGTTCAGATAAAGGTATGATAAATAATTATATTAGTAATGACAAAAGGTTTTTCAAAATATTTCACTTTACTGTGGAGAATACTTTCAGTGCAAATATTTTTAAGCACAACTGATTTCTTTTGTTTCAAAATTTTAAAACCTAAGTAAAAATGAAAGATTCCCTACAAATAATACTGGATAATTAATTTTTATGTTAACTGAAATTTGCATGCTTGCTTAGTTTCTATGATGTCTGATCATGGTTGCAGTGTATACTGCATGTGTAGATCTAATAAAACTCCTATTAAAGTTTCCTTCCTTCCTTCCTTCATTCTTTCCTTTCTATGTCACTTACTGTTTTTTTGTAACACACATTTTACCTTTAAGTATATTTTCTTACCTAACCAGCCTCCTTTCACATGCAATGGTGAAAATATGATGAAAGTGTACATTATCCAGCTAGAAATCTACCATTACAGAAAAATGTATGGGCAACCTAATAAAGTTAGACTAGTAGCATAATCTATTTGTCAATATTAAGTACACAATTGTCATTGTTGAAGATATGCTGCTCGAGTAGCCATCATCACTGTATGTAGAAGGCAGGACATCAGTGGGATATGGTTTCCAAAGTGGCAGAAATATCTTGCCTTCCAGGTCATGCACAAGTTGACATTCCTTATTGTGGTGACAAACTAGTGTCTGGGTTTGTACTTTCAGGCCTGTGGTTGCAGAAACCTGATTCTTGCAAGCATAGTAAGAATATTTTCTTCTCTTAGGATGAATGTTTGTTAGCCAAGTATCTTAGTTACTGAGACACAATACCCAACACCTACACGTTAAAGGAGGAAAGGTTTATTTTGGCTTACAGTCTGTAGAGGTTTCAGTCCATAGTCAGATGGCTTCAGGGCAGGATGTCAGGGCAGATGGGCATCATAGAGGAAAAACAGTTCATGGCATTCAATTCATGGCAAGGCAGCAAGCCTGCTTTCCATCTTTCCCTTTATATTCCATCCAAACTACAAGCCTTTTGGTTAGTGCCACCCACACGCTTGGTGCGGCTTCCCCGCACCTACACCCAGAACAACACTTAACCAATTAGTGGACTAACCAAAGTGTCACACTCTTAATCCATATTCACACACTCTAGATCCAGCCACCTTCAAAAATCCCTACCTATAAGCACAGGAAGCTTTGGGAGGACATCTAGATACAAGGCATAACACCAAATAAATGAAAATGTCACTTTCTAGTCACTGTGACATAATATCTAACACCTACAATTTAAAGGAAGAGAGGTTTAATTTGGCTTATGATTTCAGAGGATTCAGTCCATCATGGTAGGCTGACTTCAAGGCAGGAACATCATGGCAGAAGGGTGTAGCACAGAAATGCTATTTACCTCATGGTGCTGAGGAAGCAGAGCAGGGAAATGCTGCCAGAGCAGAAAGGCACACTTAATCCTCTAGGTGGCTTCTAAGCCAATCAAGCTGGTTGGTTAAATTTAGCCTCTATAATATATTAGAATATCAATTTATTAATTTGCTGTTAAAAATCTCTGTGGATCAGGAAGAACTAGAAGGCCACAAAACAAAGAAATGTTTTTTATGTAGCCAGACCAGGGCCAGATCAGAAACTGAACCAAATTCAGCTATTGCTGTCTGAATACTAAGTCTGTTATCTTAATACTCCTGCCTCAGATCTGCATTAGATGAGACTCTATTCATTCATTCCGCTGTTATAGACCTGGAATATGCTAATCTTTGTGCTAATTATAAAGGATATATGGTGAGTAAAACCAAATAGTCTTTGCCCCCAGAGATGAGAACTGATGCTGATCAAACTATTACACAAATAAATGAAATTATACCTGTAACAAATGCATCAGAAGAAGCCTGTGGAAACCATGAGCACATACTGTGGATATATCTTATACCCTATGTGATCAAGTGTCCCTGAGAAACTAAACATTGAAGTGAAATTGAAAAATAAGCAGGAATTTTGAGGCAAAGATAGTAGCAGAAGGACTTTCTAGGCAGAGGGACAGTCTGTGCATACAGCTCTGGTAAAAACATACCTGGTACCAGATGTGGTGGTCTGTGCTTATAACCCCTGTTATTCAGGAGGATTGCAAGTTTGAGGCCAGCCTGGGCAGTATATCTCAAAATAATATAAAAAGGGCTGTAGATACAGTAGACCCTTGAAATTTGTGGGGGTTATGTTTCTAGAGCATCCACAAATTTGTGAAAAACAGCCAATTTCAGATGTGGTCAGAAAAATGCTTATAAATGCCTATTTTTATAGTTTAAACCCTAAACATGCTATATCTCCACAGTTGCATAATTTAATTTAATAAAATACTGTATTAATAAAGCCTTAGAAGGGGCAGGGAGTTTTGGTGGCATCTTAGGGATCTAAGGGCTTTGAGAAGAACAAAACCAAAATCACTTGAGATAGCTATACTTGGTACAACCTGTTAAGATGCAGAAATGCTGGTGCATCTGCTGGAGATGTGTTATGAGGCGACAGCCAGTCAGCAACAAGGAGAACTAAATAATGCTCTTGGATTGGCTACTTGTAAACTTCCCCCCTAACTTACAGAGGATATTTGTGGTTTCTGTGAAATTGTGGGAGTTTCCACAAACAATTATTAGTTAGGTTCTAAGGAAAAAGCCACAAAGGACTGAGCCCATGAACTCTAAGCCATGACTTTGTGGGGGTATACTGTTTAGCTCAGTGCTAGAGTGCTTGCCTACTGTGCACAAAGCTTTTTAAGCCTCAGTGCTCTGTGTGTGTGTGTGTGTGTGTGTGTGTGTGTGTGTGTATGTGTGTGTGTGTGTGTGTGTGTGTGTGTGTGTGTGTACACCTCATGTATGAAAGAATATTAAAGAAAAACCACAAAGACTGTGTTATGGGAGGTAGAAGAATGTAGACGGAGACCATGTGGGGACTTATGGGCCTTGTAGGCTTTATATTAAAAGGTTATGAAAGCCCTTGAACTATTCGAGCACCTGGAGGATGACATGATTCAAACTTTTTATGAAAGAATTCTCTGGTTGTAGCATAGACAGATTAGAAAGAGCCAACAGTAGAGTTGGGGAGAAGGAAAAACAGGCAACTAAGAATACCTTGTAGATTTCAAGTTTTCTGGGAAATAGATTAGTTAAGATGTATCAGTGGTAACAACGATGGAAAACCTAGGGCCAAACTTGACAAACTCGGGAGATGCTGGTGAGACTGAAGAAACTCATCAGTGTGTTGTTAATCTGCAGGAGGGGAATAATCTACACAGTGATGCTGAGAGGGTTAGTGATAGTAATGGCATCACCAAGAATTGTAAGTGTGGCAGGTACTGGGGACTGAATCCAGAGCCTTTGCACTGAACTATGTCCCCAGTCCTTTTTATTTTTATTTTTTTTTATTTTGAGATAAGGTCTGACTAAGTTACTAAATTGCTCAGGCTGGACTGGAACTTGCAGTCTTCTTACTGCGGGCTCCTAGAGTGCTGAGGTTATGTGTATGTGCCACCATGCCAGGCTCATGTATTTTTTTTTAACTGATAAAATAACTGAAGCATTGAAGAAGGTAAATAACCTAGCCATGGTTTCAGAGAGTGCAGCTAAGGATTTGAAACTGGGCATGCTGACTTCTGAGCACTTTAATGCCTGAAGAGTTATATAGACTAATATAAGAAGTCAGCTCTATTTAGAAAAGTTAAGATCATTAGTTCACATTGGGAGCACACTCTATGGGATGAAGAGGAGTGGACACAAATTGGAGTGACGGGAGGTGAGAAAATGATGACAGGCAGAATAAGCAGCTCTGGTGAAAAACTGAACTTGAAAGGGAGACATCAAAAATAGTATTTGGGATCTTCCCTTGTTTATATATTTCCTGGGGTTCAGAGGCTGGTTGAATTACCTTCTAATACTTTCTTTCCTTAGTTAATGTACACGTTTCTCTAAAGTCCTCTATTGCTAGTATTTTCTACTACTTATGGCGTCCTTGTACATGATACTGATTTTTAGCCAAAAGGATAAGTAAGTTTTGTTTTAGTATGTTTTACATTGAAAACTCTTGTTTCAAATATATTTTTCATAAGTTCATGCATCTTTAGCAAATAATATTTTTAGAGATTAATGTCTTTGAGTATAAATAAAGTGAAATGATTATAACAGTTTATGGTTATATTTCAGAATATAGTCATGTAATTTCTGTGGTTATACTGTATCTGTAGATTTCTTAGAATTTAATTTTTGTATTTGTAGGCTGATATTACACCATTGATGGCTTCCCTTATTGGAGTCCCCTTTCCCCTTAATTCAGTGGTAAGGAATAAAATTTTATTATCAGTACTCAGTATTAAAAATTTCACAGAAAAAGTTATTGTTATGTATTTCTATATAATCTTTACATTTGGGCCACGGATATAGTTCAGCAGCATAAGAGCCTACCTGGCAAGTGCAAGGTCCTGAGTTTGATTCTCAGAACCAAAAAAAGAAAATAATCTTTCCATTTAAAAATGTATATTCCTCTTTCTTTCCTATCTTCTCCTCTCTCCTCTTCCCCTCCCCTCCCTTCCTCTCTCCTCTCCTCCCCTCTTTCCTCCTCTCCCTTCCCCTCTGTCTTCTCTCTTCTATTCTCTTCTGCTCTCTTCCCATCTCTTCTTCTCTCCTCCCCTGTCATCTCCCCTTCCCCTCCTATCTTCTTCCCTCATTTCTGTCTCTTCTTTTTCTCTGGAGATCAGTCCCAGGACTTTGTACATACTAGGTAATCACTCTACCACTGAGCTGTATCCCAAGCCCCTCAATTTTTTATTTTCTAAGGTCCATACAATTTATATTTTTGTAGTATAGATACAAGTGATGAAAAACAACAGAGACTGAGTCCATTTAAAAGAAAATTATTGGAAAGATATGGTTTACTGAATCACAGGGAGCTCAAAAACCAATCTTAGAAATTGCCAGAAACCAAGACAGCTCTAGATACTTAGAAGGAACCACAACCATGGTCCCATGGCAGGGCTATTCTGCTTAGGATACAGCAGTAGAGTAGAATAACATTTTACCTATTTCAGTTTCTGTTCCTTGACTGTTAGCAGTCAAATTCTACATGGTCCAACCCAGGTTATGTTACTATTTAGTAAGGTAGAGCAGGGCCCCTGTTTAAAGACTAACCAAACTATAAGATGTGATCAAAATGTACAGTGTTTAAATTTTTTAAAAAATGTATTAAAGATACATTGCTATTAATTCCCCCCCCACACACAAAATATTCCCCCTTGCTTGGAATACTTGCCACTTTATGAAGCACTTTTGGAACTCTTCTTTAAGATTATGATAAGATTTCGATTAGTGCTGCTTCCAAGTTTCGTCCAATGGAAAGGCAGCCCATGAAAACATTACAGTGTATCCACATCCACCTTATTCACCAGATCTGGCAAGATCTGGCACTGTGTGACTTCTGGCTCTTCCCCAAAGTCAAAATGATTATGAAAGGGAAGTGTTTTGAAGTTATAGAGGACATTGAGGCAGTACAACTAAAAAGATACTCATGAAAGAGGACTTCCATAACTGTTTTGCAACATAGCAAGGTGGGGGTAGGTGTGTTTGAAGCAAGGGCAAATATTTTCAAGGGGGTTAATGGCAATAAATCTTTTATATAATAATTTTTAAATTTAAACATTCAACATAGTTTTTGATCACACTGCATATATCCAGTGGAGAAGGTTTTTCAGCAGAAAATAATAATACAGTTACAAATGGACCTGGATGCAGAAAAGCCAAAAACAAAACAAAACAGAATACCATTCTAAGCAGCTACTCTCACTAGCTCTTCAAAATGAAGTTTACTGTAAAATATATCACCTTATCTGTAACTCTGAGTAATAAGATCCTGACAGTCATAAGTGTGTGTATGCATTTAAACAAAAGTTTTATAAAGTAATCTTTACTTTTTCAACATGTAGGACACTCTCATGTCTTTTTTTTCCTCTTAAATATACTAGCTATGACCCATCATAGTCATTTGTGTGTATGTTGTGCATGTATAAAATATTTAGTTCACTGCTTAGCACATAGTATATATGTTTGTTAGGTGTGTTGTTTTTTTTTTTTTCCCTATATAACAAATACCTGAGGTAATCAACTTTTAAAGAGAAATGGTTTGTTTTGTCATAAAGTTTTAGAGGTTTCAGTCCTTGGGTATATATCATGGTAGGATGCATGGTAGAGCCAAACTTCTCATCTTATGATCAAGGTGTGGAAGAGAGAAAGGAAATGCCTTGGGTCTCATAATCCCTTTTGCCAGCACGCCACCAGTGAACTGAAGACCTCCCACTCACTGGGCCCCACCTCTTATAATATCCATAGCCTCCCAGTATTGCTAAATCTTTCACACATGGGGACAGTTATGATCTAGACCATAGAGACAATCTCTCAATCAGTGTGAGGTTTTAAATTATCTTGTTTGAATTTAAATTATCTTTTTTGTTTTATTTACTTTATTATACCTATTTGGTGAAACACTATAGAACATATTTCAGTTATGATTTTTAAAAAGATTCTTCATTTAATCTAGTGATTTGTTTATATGTCTTATCTTTGTTGTTTCTCTTAGATCTGTTTCATTTTATAAGAATAGACTGAACACTAATACTAAACCAGTATTCCAATATTTGTTATTTACAGGGAATCCTTCCTATGGATTATCTGAACAACACTGACCTCTTTAAAGCAGAGAGCATATTTACAAATGCAGTACAGATACTTGAACAGTTCAAGGTAAAAAAAAAATATTCAAAAATGAGCAATAGTATAATTTAACAATTGAATATATTAGGTGAAAATATTTATTATTTTAATAAATTTTCTGTAATTTATTATCTTCAGATTTTTTATTTGCCTAGTGTCATACAGTTTCACAGTTGTGGAATACAGGCACTGTTAATCCTATTGGCTTTGACTTATGCTTATAAAGTCTACAATTTAAGTTTTTATCACTTGGAATTTGTCCCATAGAAGTATTATTAGGGATCACAACATTTGTCATTTCATGTATGTTGTTAGATACATTAGGAACTTAAAGAAGTGATTCTTTGATTAAAACTTTGGTTTATTTTGTTTTCAAGGAATTAAAAAAATACAATTTTAATTACATTATAGTATGTTATCTTGCAGGATTGATATACTCAATTGTTAGCTCCTTCAAGTAGTAAGATAGTATTCAATTTTTCTTTAAATACTTACGAAACAATATAACACAAAATTCCATTTATTTTCAAATTAGTTAACTACCCCTGAAGAACCACTTTAATGGATGTTTATATTTCAAAATGAAATTTATTTTTTGTTAACTTAATACACTTAAATATTTTCATGCTTGGTTCCCAGGTGAAAATGACTCAGAAAAAAGAAACTACTTTACCATTTTTGTTTACACCATTTAAGTAAGTCGCTTCTGTTTTTTATCAATCTAAAAAGAGGCTGGGTTAGTTTTTTGTAAACTGCCTTTTTGTGTACCTTAGTGCAAACTCCAAATTGAAGTCCTTTTCTGTTACTTTTGTTAAGTAATAAGCCACATGCTAGACACTTTTGAATGTCTGGAAGAGTAGGTGGAGGGACAGAGATACGTGAGAAAAATTAAGGAGATGACATGAGCACGACTTTTCTAGTTAGCAAGGAGGGTGTGGGGTTATAAGGAAGAGAGAGAGGATGACTCCTTAGCTCTTGGCTTGCTTGATTGAGAACATGCTGGTGCCATTATGTTTTATAAAAGGAAGAGCTAGTTTGAAAAGCAAAAATGGATATTTTTAGTTCAACTTACATTTGAAGGTATCAGTTAAAGAATTAGAAATAAGGCCTTAGATATCAGGAGATGGGGGGTAATTGTGAAGATTTTGGAACCATCACCATGAAGATGGTGGTAGAAACTGGTAAACATGTGGAGGCTCTAGGGAGAATGTAGGAAGTGACAAGAAAGGCCAACAGTAGAATTCTGAGAAATACTGGTTTCTAACAGGTAGGCAAAGCATTCTACCAGGTTGTTCCTTAGCCCAGTAAGATGTGTTTTTCCTTAAATCAGCAAAGAATAGATCTGAGTCATAGATCGTGTTTAATACCACTGACAATATGTAGCTTGGTATACTTGGTACTCACCTTTCTTGAGACTCACATTTAGTTTATAGAATTTTGCTATTGACCAAAATAAATTGAGATTATTTTATTTATGAGTCTTAAAGATGTGATTGAATTATTTTTGACAAGTTGTAAAACATGGGTGTAGTATTCATAAACTAGAAAGCCTTAGATATTGTATTGCCTTCTTAATAATATGACTTATATACCAAGTTTGTGTGTGTATATATGGATATATAAGCAATGAAACATAAAGCAAAATTAAGATTTTGCAATTTATAGTCATATAAAATTAATTACATGGACTATATCATTAGCATATTATACTTACAGATCTGTTATACTGATTCATATTTTCTTTTAATAATATAGTAGATTTGGAATTTGTTATTGGAATTGGTTTGAGTATATGTTTTCATTTTTCTTAAATATTTATTGATTGACTACTGTGTGCATCATAGATACAGCAGTAAACAAGATACACTTTTTACCTTCACAGAGGTAAAAAGTCTTTACCTTCACAGAGTTTGTTTATACTGTGGCAGTACAGACAGAGCATAACAAAATAAGTGAACAAGAAATACGTTATCAGTTCCTAATATGAAGAAAATCCATAGGATGTTGAGAGTGAGAATAACAGGATTGCTTTAGACCAGCCACTCTGGGAAGGCTGATGAGGAAAGTATTCTTCCCCAAGGTTCGCATGCATACGCCTTCTTCCATTTAGCCTGCTAGTTGACCTAAACTTCCCCCACACTGGCTTCAACTTTTGCCTGGATGTTCTGTATATATATAGAGAGAGCCACTGTTGACCTGTGTCATATGGGAGCCTGCCCTAGCCCCTTGTTTACCCATCCTGGAGCAGAGAGATTGCCAGGCTTATAGATCTGTCTGGCTAAAAGTCATGACTTGCTGAATGCCTGTAATATAGCTATGAAAACCTAAGATAAAGTGAAAAATTGGCTCTTTAAACTATATAACTCAAAGACCAGAACCTTATAAGTATGAAAATCCTTGGGGATATTTAAGAAGCTTTTGCATCCATAAAACAAAACCAGTGTTTATTAAGAGAAAAAGGCACAGAATATATCAAAACCTGTAAGGAGGGGAAATGCAGAGAGAAACTTACAAAAAGATAAACAATACAAGAAGGGTCCAGGAGGAAGCAGATCCTCTAAATGAGAATAGGAACTGAGTAGACCTGAAGCTGAATAAAATGAATTTTAAGGGATAGATGCATAGACTGAGAAGCTGGAGGAGTTTAGCAACAAGATGGGATGAATGGAACATATATTTCTTCCCACCTCCCACCCCCCAAAAAACAATAATAGGACACAAAAAGTAAAGAAATTTGTCAAAAAAAATATGCTTCAAATGTGAAGCATTTGGTTCACATGCTCAGGTTGTACATGATTTTGAACAGTTGCTGGGGTGTGAGAAAGGGAATTCAACATTGTACATGGATGAAGGCTTTAAGAAATAAATGAGAAAATCTAGTTATAGTATAAAACTTTGATATTCAGTGAAGTGTATTTAAATACTAGTCATACTAATATAAATATTGGTTTTCAGCTTTTAGAGTTAATCCTTAGGCAAAGGAGGCAAGAATTAATTATAATTAGATAATACAGTGCAAGTTTACCAATCTTGACAGTATAAAAGTGCAGTTGACAGATTGAAAGGCAGAGGAGAAAGAAAATGTATGTAGAATAACACTAGTACTATTGCATGCATAAATTAGAATGTGGAGAATTCTGTCTGTAGTTGATAGAATACGGTAGAGATCTACATGTTAGATTATTAAGGTAACCAAGATAGCCAGCAGACAGATCAAAATATAAGATTGCTTTGTTGAGGGGGAAGCAGAGCCAGAGACAGCAGGGAGTCAACAGAAAATACCTCAGACCATTAAGTCAAGAAGTAGCATGAAAAATATAGTGTATTAGATACTTTCTTGTCACTGGTGGAAAGTACCCAACCCTCACAATTTAAAGAAGAGATTTATTTTGGCTCATCATTTCAGTCCATGGTCAGTTGGTCCATGGTAGAAATGGCATGGCATGAAGGGCGTGGTGGAGGAAAGCTGTGATATCTTGGCAGCCAAAAAGCAGAGAGAGAAAAGAAGAGTCAGGGACAAGAACACACCCTTCCAAGGACGCACCTCCAACTGGCCCCCACCTCTAAACACCACATTTAGTTACTGAACTCAGTAATGGATGAATCCCCTGATAAACACAGCCTGCCAAGATTCGCTCACTTTGGAAATGCAGCAGAGTTGGGGTGAGGCGTAGTATTTTAGACCCAAATCAGAGCACAGAGAAGAAAAGCATAGTAAGAAAATAGAGATAATGACCACGATAAAAAACAAACACATGTAAAGCATTTTTGTGTCTGGGTTTGTGAACTGAGAAATGAGAGGGTAAGGCAAGGATTTATTCATTGTCCTGCCCTTCTGTACTATTTGATTTTTACAAATTATATGCATATATTGCTTTAATAAAACATTTTTAAATAAATGAAAATAGGTATTCTAATAATTAACACTGTAGGATATGTAATAGAAAAAAGGATACTGTTTATAATGGAAATAAAATTATTTAGGAAGATAATAATGAAAAATGTGGAGAAAACTATAAAATTTTATTTTAGGTCATAACAAAATATAAATAAATATTGGGTGGTAATATTTAATACTGTGAAATGTCAGTCATCTCCAAATTACTTATTAAATATTGTGTAATGTTAAATACTTTCATATAACTCCTTTTTTGTTTTAGTTGTACTGGAGATCAAATGGAGGGGTGCTTTACCATTGAGCTATATCTCCAGCCTCTTAAGATTGGTATTTTTAGCCAGAATCTCACTCAGCTACCTAGATTGGTTTTGAGTTTGCAATCCTTCTGCCTCAGCCTCCCAAGTAGATGGCATTATCGCTAGGCATGTATCACTATGCCTGAAAAAAGATGGCTTTTAAATTTATATAGAAGAATACATTTTCAAGAGTAACAGCTAATATTGAGAAGAAATAGGATAAGAGGTTTACTCTATTAGCTAGGATACATAATCTTAAAGCTATTATAACAGAGGTAATACCAGTAAAGACAAATATATAGATTACTAGAACTAACTTAGTAGTATCTGAAGAAACTAATACCTATCAATAAGTAATATTTTTCCCACTTCCCAGATGGGAAGGAAACTAAACTTTAGGAAAAAACTTCCTAAACACAACTTTAGGAAACTAAAGCACAAAGAAGTAACTATCTTGACATTTTTCACTTGTAAACAGGAGAGTCAGAATTAGCAGTCTGGCTCCAGAGTCTGATATAGTCTTAACTGATGACAACTATTTTACAAAGTACATTCATGCTGTTTATTAAAACTAAGAGTGTTAAAACTACATGCCCAAGAGAATTCATTTTTTTTATTTTATGGAGAAAAGGTAAAACAAAATTTCATAACAAGATGATAGGAGAATAACAGTAGTTAATACATTGCATATTGTTATCTTGAAAGTAGTTACTCATGGGACAAGATATGGGCATAAAAAATTCTCCAATTAATATAAGCACAAATTGTCCTTTTCTATGAACTGTGAGACACTAATAGTATAACTAACTTGCATTTTTCTCCCATTTCCCTTCCTTTAACCTTCCCCCCATCCTAGTTCCTTTTTCCTTTTTAACAATTTCTTCCCATTTCACAATATCTATTGTACATTTTAGACCTTATTCACTCTTTCAGTTTTTCTTACCAGGCAGGCAATATGGTGTTTACACATGTGAGTCTGATTTATTTAACTTTTGTTTAGGGTCTCAAGTTGCATGCATTTACTTATAAGTCTCAAGTTTATCCTTCTTTATGACTGAGTAGTATTCCATTGTATATAAAAAAACGACATCGTTTTAACGATTCCTTGGTTGATGGGCATTTGGGTTGTTTCCAAGATTTAGCTATGACAAATTTTGCTGCTGTAAACACTGGTGCACGTATATCGCTGTGGTATGATGTTTTTAGTTCTTCTGGGAAGATACCCAGAAGGGGAATAGCTGGGTTGAATAGGACCTTTAATCCTAGCTTTTTGAGGAATCTGCATACTAATTTCCACAGTGGTTGCACCAGTCTGCACTCCCACCAAAACTAGAGAAGGGTGCCTTATTCCCCACAGCCCTGCCAACAGTTGTTATTGGTTGATTTCTTGATGATAGCCATTCTATCTGGGGTGAGATGGAATCTCTGCATCTTTTGAATGATCAATAATATTGGGAACGTTTTTCATGTATTAATTTGCCATTTGTATTTCTTCATTTGA